GCCATTAAATCTGGGACTTTTTTTAGTGTGCTTGACACACACAGACTATAGTGGAAGGTGCTGCTATAAACTTGATATGAAGTAAGGCTGAACTTAGTTTTTAATTCCTTGAGACTAATTTTCAGCCTTAGGAAATTAAAGTCCACCACTTAGGCTTTTGCTAGTCAACAGTTTGTGTATTTATTTCACTCCAGTTTGGGGATGTTTTTTTGTTTGCTCTTTTTTAAATTTAAAATTTTTGTATTTTGGGGTTTGCTTTTTCTTAGTGGCAGCAGAATAATACTGTTGTTAAACTCTCTGAAAATCCACAAGTTTGCTATTTAAGATATTTCATCAGTTAAGACTTTTGTCTTTTTTTTGTGCATTTGGACAACAGTAATTAGAAATAAATCATATTCTGTTCTATTGCGTTACATTTCATGCGACTCAGAGAAAAATTGTATGCCTGAGAATCAAGGAAGCATGAAATCTTTCACCTGAAGTCATATGCTCTTATAGAGAACATTTTAAAAAAACCCTATTTATTTGTTGAAAAATTAAAGGACTGATAAAATCATTTGAAGTCTTTAGCACTACCCTCCTGTAGAAGAGACTAGTTGTTGTGGTGTCAGGGCTTTAGAGAAAACATTTGCAAAGCACTAGTGTGCTTTTTCCATCAGTGTTGCAGAGGATTTACACACAGAGCTCATATAAGCGTTAACGAGTTATCGCTTAAACACCTTGTCCAGTGATGGGAGAAGAAACCCGGAGAGCGTCTGTGTGCATGACTGTCAGCAATGCAGCTTACTTCCACATCAAAGGAACGCAGAACTTGCCATGCTGAATCAAACTAGCACTTCATCACTCTCGTATCATCCCTTCAGCCGTAGCCAATAGCTGATTTTCAACAAAAGACAAAAAGCTCTTAAAATCTAATGCTTTTGGATACCTTTTCAATGTAGATGTAGGGGAGAAAAATCCATCCTACATTTGTAAGTGTTTTATAACCTGAAGTTGATGTTTTGATTTCCTCTGAATCATTGTTTTTCTGTATTGTTTTCAGGAACCAGGAACTATGTAGAAAATGGGTCGGTTGTGCTTAAATCCATTGATGCTATAGTTGGAAGCACATGGAAAATCAAATTGTGCCTGAACGTCATAGTAAAATGTAATCTAGTCCAGCGTAACTGAAAGCTGGTCTTGCCAGGACTGGGTCATTCCCTTCTGCAGTCACGGCAGCTTCACGGAGCTGTCATTTTTAAATCCCATTTTTAGGCAGCAGTCAGTTTTCCGATATGCTGCTTATGCCCCTGGCTGCCAAGAAAGCTAATGGGATCCTGGGATGCATTAGGAGGAATGTGGCCAGCAGGTCGAGGGAGGTTCTCCTTCCCCTCTACACTGCCCTGGTGAGGCCCCATCTGGAGTACTGTGTCCAGTTCTGGGCTCCCCAGTTCAAGAAAGATGAGGAGCTGCTGGAGAGATTCCAGCGGAGGGTTACGAGGATGGTGAGGGGAGTGGAGCATCTCTCCTACGAGGAGAGGTTGAGGGAACTGGCCTTGTTCAGCCTGAAGAAGAGAAGGCTGCGAGGGGACCTTATAAATGCCTACAAATATCTGAAGGGTGGGTGTCAGGAGGATGGGGCCAAGCTC